AGCACGCGCTTCGTTTTCTTTTTCCAGATGGTCTCACCAAGAAAAAGAAGAGAAAAATAGGGGGGATAGGGAACATTTTTTCTGGAGTCTCGGTCTCACAACTTATGGCACAACGCGAAAGGGCTATTGTTGCGGCATCTGGAGTGCAAGGATCACCAGTGCCAAATGGATCGCAGGTAATGTATCACTTTTAATTAACCTAAAATGAAATCTGTTATTTGAGCAATTAAACAACTTTAACCGATATATTTTCGTCGAAAATTTTCAATGGTATCACTTCGCGTAATATTACCATATGCACACGTGAATATTTTTCGTATGTTTCAGGTGTGGCCAATTGCGATTCCTAATTTGCAAGTTCAGCAAAACAGTCAGCCAATCTGTCATCAGACATTAAACTCACCCTCGCAGAATCAAGACGTAAACGGCTGTGCAACGAGAAATCCTCAGCAAAGGTTAGGTCAGCATAATATGTCGGGGATGCTAATGGGAAATTCGCTGATCATGAATCAGCAGGGTGCTAATTTTAACAACATGACGCAACAGCAGCAACAGCTGCTGCAACAGCAACATCAACAGCTTATTTTACAACAGCAGCAACAACAACAACAGCAACAACAGCTTATGCAACAGCATATATCTCAGCAGCAGCCGCAACCACAACAACAGCAGCCGCAGCAGTTGCTGCCGCATCATCAGCAAATGCAACACATGCAGATTTTACAGCAGCACGAACAGCAACAGCATCAGAATGCTGTTGTGAATCAGATAACGCAACAGCAAGCTTCGCATTATCTGAATCAATTGAACCAGCAACCGTTGCACGTGATGCAACAGCAGGAGCACATAAATCATCAGCAACAACAGCAACAACAGCAGCAGTTGCATATGCAGCAGATGCAGAAGCATAAGATGCAGCAGCAGCAACAACAACCGCAACAGCATTTAACGCAAGAGGTTGATCCGCAATCGGGCAACTATAATCCTCAAAATCCATCGGAAAATTACGTGCATCACATGCAGCCCTCGCAAATACCGGCTCAAACGACTCTTCATCCCCAGCTGCATCAAATTCATCAGCACCAGATGCAGCAACAAACGCAGCAGCATCAACCTAATCAGCACGTGATGCAGGCACAACCAGCTGATCATTTCCAAATGCAGATACAACAGCTACAGCAGCAGCAACAGCAACAACAGCAGCAGCAGCAGCAGCAACAACATCAACAGCAACAAGTACCTCAAGTGTGTGTGCAACCGCAGTATCCTACTCAGCAGTTGAATCATCATGCGATGGACGTGATACAACAACAAAATCCGGGTTCGGTGATGAATACTGCTGAAATACAAAATAGACATAATCGTACACCTTCTGTGACCGATGAGGATCTGAATGCGAAACAAATGCAACAGCAACAGCAACAACAGCAGCAGCAGCAACAACAACAGCAGCAGCAGCAACAGCTTTTGTTACACAACCATACGATACAACGACACCATGTTGTGCAAAATGGTAACTTGGTGAACAATTCACACGAGAATATGCAACGAATGTATACTCAGAATCAGGTTCAGTTCTCTGTGAGAAATTTCGATGCCTCGAAAGGAACTGTCGCCGATGTGAAACACCAGCAACAGTACGCCCTCTCTAATTTAGCGGGAAGAAGCCCGAATACCAATCATACCGTTGAAGCGCAATCTGGAATGGGACCAAACGGGCAGCCCAGTAATATGCATTTCAACTCGAGAACACCGCCCTGGCAACAGAACCGGTCAGCCTCGGGTTCTCATCAGCAATCTCTCGTCACTGTCCAGAATATCACTTGCAACTCCTTTGATCGTGTTCCTCCTTTGCATCACCACATTCCACAAGCTTCTACCTGGACCGACGAGGTAGCGCGCAAGAAGGCGAAATCCAGCAAAGTGATGGTAAAGAAACAGCGTCAGCACAACGTTGCAGACGTTCGAAATCAAAACAGCGTCGATCAATCGGCGTCCAGTCCGATCGACGAGTTCAACGAGAAAAATCAACAGAATAGTAATCAAATAGGCTCAACTGTGAACAGCAGTGGTCCGTCGTTTTTGGAAGATCCGAGCGGTTACCTCGCGCAACAGACCGCTCTGTTGAACAGCACGATATCGAGGCAGACCGGTGTCAGTAGTTCTCAAGTGGGAATAGTTAATAACTCGAAAGCACCTCAGACGAATCACGGTTCGCACTTGCCTAACAACACTTATCTTCCGCAACCAAAGCCTTCCTCTGGCGTCAGCCCCACGAGCACATCGACGTTCAACTCGGTAAAGAACCACGCGACCTCGCCCGTTGTCGTGCACAGTAGCATGACGCCGACGTCGAGCAGCGGTGGAACCGATTCGGAGAGCAGTCCGTGTCAGGGTTGTGTCACCAGCGCTGACACACAGTCGTACGTGCAGGATCAGTATAAACAACAGATGCAACGCCAGTATCTGATGCATTCAGATCAACGCGACGATCCTGTCACGTCGTCTACGTTCGGCGAACAGTATCAGACTAATCAACAACAGAGCGATTCGCGACCGATTCAAGGTGGTACCGTGAGTACCAGTCACGGATCACCGATCGGCACGAACAGTCCAGCGAATTCGGACACCCCAGCCTCGTCGACACCTGGAATATCGCAACCGGCGACACCTCAAAGTCTCATCTCGTCTCAACCATCGACACCGCATAGTTACTCGCAACCGCCAACACCTCATTCGCATTCTACATCTGGTCAGATGCTATCTCAACCATTAACGCCTCAGGCTCAGCAACCGTCGCAGTCCTCGATGAGCAGCGCTGCACAGGAGCAACGTTCTGAAACGCCTTGCTCCGCTACAACGAGTTCAAACGTAGTTCCTTCTAGTACACAGTCCTCTCAAACATCCACCTCTGCTTCGGACAACGTGACGTCGCAAATGACGAAAAGACAGACCACGAGGCAGTCGTCTTTGGACGGTTACCAGCCACATCCCCACACCGTCAACGCTGTCTCGAGAGTGCCGATAAATCATTTTATCGGTACGTCGTCGGTGATAACTACAATGGCGAGTGGACATACCGTCAGCAGTAACACTATCACGTCTGTATTAGCTGGAAGAGCGAATACCGCCACGGTGTCGATAAACACACCTTCCGGAATACCGAATCCCGCCATACCTGATCTACTGTCGAACAAACCTCAGCATCAAGCGCCTTCGACTACTCTACAATCCACTTCGTCACTTCCAACCAGTCAACCGTCAATAGCGATAAGTGTTTCGAAGTCACCGTTAGAGATGGTCCAAAGTGTCGTTAGTAGCATACAGGTGCCGCAGGCTAGCACTAGTTCACCAGTGCAACACCAGAATCAGCAACAGCAACAACAACCGACCCAACAGCATCCTCCATCGAACGTTCAAGTTCACAACGTGCTTACGTCTGGTGGAATATTGAAACATCCTGCTGGATCGACCTTACCACCTGGTCATATACTAGTGTCGAACGGTGGTCAGCTTATAATGGCTAGCACAGGATCAGGGATAAACGGCGTAATGGCACCACCTCCGCCAAAAATCATCTCCAACTCTAACTCTATGCCACCGTTGTCAGTGTCGCCTATGGTTACCAGTGTGACAGGAGCTGTCAGTCAAGTTATTCCTGCGGTAGGTGTAGCTCAGCAAGTGATCGGGCAGCCCACGGTGCTTGTCAACACTATTCAGACTCCTGTACTTATACAGCCTGGCGTGATGACGATGGACAGCATAAGCCAGAACGTTCAAATACCGCATCTGACTGTCGCGACTGGAAATGTGATACAAAATGCTCAGTCGATTCTGGATGCCAATCAGGATGTTGCGAGAAACGCCGGCCAAGGAATAGTGAATCGCCAGCCAGCGTTACTGTCGCCGGAATCTGCGATGAGCAAGAAGAAAGCGTACAAGAAGCGAAAGGCGAACCCGCAGACAGTGGCGTCGATGTTGCATATCGCCTCGTCCCAACAGAACGCCGGCATGCTAATGCAATCGCAGTCGAACTTCGCGCAACAAAATTTCCAAGCTCAGAGCATTGGCGGACCGATGTTGCAAGCGTTGACCATCGTTCCGGGAAAAGGTGGAGCCCCAGCTCAGCTGGTGATGAACGGGCAAACGGGCGCGACGTCGGCACAGTTTAATGCTCAGCAAATAATCACGAATCCTCAACCGGCGCAACAGATAAATCTTCTCCAGCCAGTGAACTTGTTGAACGGCGCTGCTGGAATGGTTCAGAATTTCCCTACCATCCAGCAGTTCATTGTTCCAGGTATAGGGAGCATGGTTATGTCCGCGGACGGAACAGCTACATTGCTGCAGGACACGGGAAACATCGGTATGCAACTGCAGATACAAAACGTGAACGGTCAGAATGTGTTAACTCCTGTGCAAAGTCACAGCGGAATATTCAATCCGAGTCAAAGCATCTTAGCAGCTGGTCCTGCTGGAATGGTCATACGAGCACCGCAAGCAACCGGTGGGAAAATAATTCAACAGCATAGTCCAGGCGCACAATTCCTCTCGCCGAACAGTGGCCAATTCTTGGTGAACGGGACTACGTCGTTCGGGAATCAGCTGAGTCCGATAGTGGCGAATGTTAGTCCGAATCAGCAGGTGACTTTCAACGCGTCGCAAGTTCGACCGACGAACATGCAAGGCCAACAGGAGTTCATACAGATGAACGGGCAGACGTTGATGGTACCGTGCGGGACCGCGCAGAATATTGCCGTTTCGTCGGCTCCCAATCAGCAAAATACAACGTTCGTTCAGCAGAACACTACGATCGTGCAACAGCAAACGACCATGGTGTCCAATAATCAGATACCTAATTTTCAAGCTGCAGCTTCTAACGGAACCACCGTTGATCCTTCGTTGAACATCGATCATAATCAGTCGTATATTTTGAGTTCTGGAATGATTCAAGGAAAGGCGCCTACATCTCCGAAGAGCAGCGTGAATTCGCCGTCTTCGGAGCACAATGTCGAACAGCAACAATACGTTCTTGCTAGCAGTAGCACGACTGTCGTGGAGAAAACAGCTCAGCAGAGTGACCAGCATAGTCCCCTGATGGCGAGACACTCCGTCTCCACGCAGACAGCTGGAAATCAAGCGAACATGGCTCAGTCAGCTATGATGAGGCAAGGATCACCTCCAGATACCACCACGCATAGTCCAGGAAATAGTCAGAGGTCGAACAGCCCTGCTGTGGACACCACGACGCATGGAGCAGCATCTCCGGCACCGCCGATCACAGCTAGACATCACTCGTCGTCCACGGTAATACTGCATTATTGAATATAACGAACATATTAACTGTCACTCTAGAATTAGGAGTACATTAATCTTGCAAGTTGATAGATTCTCTTGTGAAATAATGTTAAGGGGATTCTTACTGATTATAGCAAAATAAATGTAAAATTGTTCAAGTTATTTATCGTCGGAATGGTAATAGTAATTGTAACATTTATTTACATATACAGGGTGTCCGAATTATTTTCGACAAAACTTTGTCAGCATATTCTATGGGTACAAATAAGAAGAAAATGTTACACGAATACAGGTCGTTTGAAGCTTTATTAAAAAGTTACAATAATAATCGTACTTTGTATTTCCTATTTTTGCTATAACTTTTTAACAAAGCTTCAAACGACCTATGTTTATACAACATTTTTCTCTTACTTATACTTATAGAATATACTGACGAAGTTTGATCGGAAAAAATTTGGGACACCCGGTATGTTTTGTTACGATAGAGGGTTGAGAGAAGAGAAAAGTATAGCGTTTTGTGTAATTAAACTAATTTCTTTTTCTCTAAATAAACAATCAGTTAATCAAGTGGACGTGTTAAAACTTCATATACATTTCCAGCCAATGGTTCATTGCGTGTCAAGTAGCGAACCGGACTCAGGCGATGTGCCAGTGGCGTCGGAAGATTGGAGAATTCAGGGTATCACCACGAAGGAAATCACGCTTAGTCAGCCGGGTCTCCATGGGAAAACTTATGTGGAATCGACGGTGACTACTGGGATCCAGGTTGGTACCCATGTAGAGCAGGTCAACCGTCATCTAACTCTAACAGACATGCACCAGCCAGCCGATACGACACACCCTGAAAACACATACGCTGACTCACAGGAGCATATGGACACATCATCACCAAATCATTCCATATATTCAGACACAATGGATCACTCTCCCGTGGAAGATCAGCTAAGCGTCACTAAAGAAATGACGAATGTCTCTTACACAGAGATGGACGTCAATACGTTACCGGTCATAAGTCACGGTCATTATCAGCCGATCCTCTATCATAGCCAACATTATGTTCCCAATACAAACGTTTACCGACAGCAAACCTTAGTGCCACCAGATCACGCGCATTACTCGATGCTACCTCAAACGAAGTACGACACGAAGTCTTGCGTGGAGGTCGAGCAAATCGGTTCGCATATTCCGCAACACGTGGAGCAAAATTCCGAGGAGAAGTCGTTGGAGGCTGCTCAGAGCATAGGTATCCCTTATTGTCCGGAAACTGAGAATTTGCAGAAATTTGTAAATATCGGCATAGCAACGCCGGCCGAGATTTATCCACATTTGTACAATTACCGGTCTGATCCTAACGGGATTGCTGTCGTGAACTATTCGCCCAATAAACAGGCCTACATAAATCCATATATTTACAATCAGTTCGTGTATGCGCAAGAGGCTGACGACGGTGATGAGACTGACTCATCGTCGGAGGAATGAGCATCTTTCTTTCGTACGGGTCGATTAATTTTGTACATTCTTACTATTTGAAATATATCAGTGGCATTCCCTTCACAACGAAAGGGCATAAATACGCGTTTCAATCGATACTATTAAGTTTGTAATTAGTTTGTATTTAACGTTATTCAGTTTTACGCGCAGACACTTTGTGGGCCGAGCGATGTTCCGCTCGGTTTTAGCGTTATTATTTAAAACGTACATTGCAATAATGTAACTTGTATGATCAACCGTGTGTTAACGGATCACTCGTAAGAAACAAAACAAAAAAAAAAAAACAAAACGAAAAAAAAAATAATAACATATGACTCTTTTATAATGGCAAATAGAGAAAAAAATAAATTTTTGCTAAACAATATTTTTCTCATAGAAGTTATCTAATATACATGTTCCTAAATGTTCAAAACAAACAAAAAAAACAAAAAAATAACAAAAAAAAAGATACCTTGCGATGAGCATGTGTAATAAGAGTTTGGATTTTTTATCACTTTAGTATCATTTCTCGTTTGCATGCCTCGAAGAATGAAATTTGAACGTGACATTTGTTTCGGCCATCGATAGCGTAGAAAAAGCGTAAGTTTTCTGCTAAATCTGAAAGAACGCTCCTAGCGTTTTTTTGTATATTATAAACGTTTTTGTACGTGTGCTGTCGAGTCGAGTCAACGATGATCATTCTCTTTCTCGTATGTTCTTTCCTTTCTCTTCTTTTTTTTTTTTTTTTTTCATTTTCTTTCACGTAACCTTATGTTTTTCACGCTCGGTCGAAAGAATGATGAGGATCTTGCTGAAGAAAGGAAAAGAGGGGTTTATCGAAACGAAACGAGCAATTTGGCAGACGATAGATTGAAATGATATTAGCATGTGACTGGTAGGCTTGTGCCTGAGTTGATCGAGTTGTATTTGACAGATCTATACGTCAGAGACGTTGAAGCAAGCGGAAGGTGTGGTGAGCACAGTGAGGTGCGAGGGCAGGGAACATGCCCTCGGCCGCGGAATCAAGCGAAAGCTGGACTCCATCCATTCCATGCATTCTACCCTGCATGAAGACCAAGATGGTCAGTATTGTATGGTATTCTTAGACGTTAATCGTACATTAGGTATATAAATAGCTCGGCTATAGTATCGAACCGCATTTTGATAATCAACTTGGTTAATTGACACGGCGAATGAGTATTAGGAAATTACAATAAACATGTAGAATTTACTATTAAATTTTTTGTGGTATAAGAAATTAATACTAAGAAATTACAATAAATGTGTAAAAATTATTTAGAAAAATATTTGACAACTGCTAGTAAATTTAATTGATCAAATTTTATTACTAATTTTTTTTGTAGTACAAGAAATGAATATTAAGAAATTAAAGTAAATATGTGAATATTATTTAGAAAAGCATTTGAAAAATTTGCGAGTAAATTTAATTGATAGAATTTCACTGTTAAATTTTTTGTGACACAAGAAGTGAATATTGGAAATTACGATAAATATGTAAATGTTTAGGGAGTAATTAAATTACAATTGATCGAATTTTATCATTGAAAATGAATTCGTTGAACGAACGACACGCAATTATTATGAAAGTTACTTTATCAAAATGGTATTTGATAGTAGTACATGTATCGTTGACAAGTAATGTAAATGATACAAAAGAAATTTGAATGCACGATAATCTTGAAAATTTCAATTATCCAATGAAAATTTTACGTTGCTTGTCGATGATTGTTACGCACTGATTCGTTAGTATTAAGAATGCTTCTGGCTCTAACCACTTTCGATTGTTCATAATGTAACTTAGGTTCACATTCTAATATTTTATTCATACTACCTCACATTTATAATAAACGGGGCATGCTTTTACTATGTACATCGATTTGCCAGTTTGCGTTTGTGTGAATCGCATGCCGATATTTTTTCCTCTCACTTTTGTTTGCTGCACGTTTGTAAGTGGCATGTTCAAATTTATACCGCACGTTTCATTCTCTACGCCTTGCTAATGCTTTTTAAATGATGTCCAAGATTTTGTTCATCCCTAAAATTAATACGAATAGTTGAGGAAAAGAAAAGAATATTCTCGCGCGTGATCTTATTTCCGACTTTATTTCTCCAATTGATTTATTTCGATAAAAGCTTTTCTTTGTTGTACGAATTAGTTTATGAAGTAACTATTAGTGTAATGTGAAATATAATACCGACGTAGCAGAATTTGCTAATTACGCTACAGGGAAGTAGAAGAAAAAAAAAGTGTTCCCTTAGAAATTTCAGCGTTTTTGAAATTAAGATTATCGTTAAAATTTCTCCGACGATTATTTCCAACTGTATATTTTTGCTCGATTGGAACAAAGAGGCAATCGGTATCGAATGAAATCGTTTAAAATTCGCTCACGAGTTACTCGAGAAGCAGGTAAGTGGTGTCAATACTAAACAATTTTGTTGATTGAGAGAAAAAAAAGAACCCAGGAGACTCGATGCTTTTTGCTACACAAAAGTAACGCCCGGTGACGTTGAATTAATAAAATTGTACATAATATTCACCGAAAGGATTTGTTGCGTTCTTTTATTTTTTCTTTTTTCTACTAATTGGCTGTCAGGTTTGTTAATATCATTGTCCACGCAGTTGTCACGTACCATTGAAGGGGCTGAGGGGCTTCAGTCATATGTTCATTTTCGGCGCGGGTGTGGCTCACCGGTTTTATTTATTGCGGCATTTCTTGTACATAATCACCCTCACGTTTCTCGTGTCGCATGTGCATAATCTTGGGGAGGGTTCGTTTGTTTTCGTCCTGGCCAAAAGAATTCGAGAACGTTGGTAGTGCTTCGTACGTGCGCGAAAATTTGTCACACCTAAATCCACGGTTCTATCACGGTTCGTAATTTGCAGTTCGAAAAACGAGAGGTCTGGGAATTCACGATTCAAATTATTGTTTTGTCGCCTGAAACCGTAGAAAGCAATGGAAATATATTTGCCGTCCGACGGAATTTTACGCCGTTTAACGATCGACTTGCAACGACGATTTATCCATCGCAAGCAAGTTGTGAATTAAAGAGTTAAGAAAGGGCATGACGCGAAAAAAAAAAAGAAAAGTGTACAGGTTGCATTCGTGAAAGGCAGGATTTTTGTCTTCGTTCGAGTGAAAAAAAAAAAAGAAAGAAAAGCGAGGAAGATCGATGGACGAAATCATTTGCATGTGCTCGAACCATCTGATATCTCATTTTGCCACTGATCTCGCCTACCACCATTTGAATGAAATTACTAATCATTTTTTAACGAACACACACGCGAGCAAGAAGCACATTTTAAAACGTAAAACAGCCCTACAAATACGAACGTAGTGGTGTTATATCATCAGTTGTCAATTTTAAGGATAATCCCATTCGTAAGGCACGCACCATGAGCATCATACTCATTTCGCTGTTATGCGTTGCACCTATTGATCAAAATTAACACACAATCTTAACCGGACCAGAGCTTGCGGGATCGTTAATTCTAGTTAAGTTCTCGAGTTGTTGTTAATTCATTTGCAATATTTACGTTGTTGTGAAATATAGCGGAAATATTGATTCAGTAAACTCATCTATCGTGGGTATATTAATAAAACGGACTAACAAGGAAAGGTTGATAACACGAAAATTTTAAAAAATTTGGAACTTTGCTAAAATCTAGGTCAACTGATGCTAATAACGAAATTATTTTTTGTTTTCGTAATGAAACAGTCCTAGGTGTGCAAACACGCTCTCGATAAAATTGTGAAATTTCACATTATCGTGACTATTTACGTGAAAAATAGTTAAATTCAAGGTTGTGATTTTTGATATAAAGAATTTTCGAAAAATATAATTTCTTTCAAAATTTACTCCCACTACTCTTAATTTCTCGTCCTCTAGGACTGTTCATTTTGACATTTCTGCAAAGTTTCCAATTTTGTTGGAATTTTCGGGTTACTGAACTTCTCTTGCAAGTCAAAAAATTCTCATTTTTACTTCATGGTGAAAGAACGTATTAAAATTACACCTCTATATACTGGTAATACACATTGAGGCTTGCTGTAAGGAATAAAGGATTTTTGTAATTAAAATTAACTCATTTATTCTAGATCTATTCTCTACGTATTTGAGAAACAAGGCATATTGACTTGCAAGGAAGCTACTCCAAGTGATAACCACCGATATTGATGAATTTTTGAAAAGATATTTGACATGTATTTTATATCGGCAATCGTACACATTGAAGGGGCAGAAATCGCCCTCAAAGAGTAGTAAACATATTTGCTCTGTCTTAAAAATTGTTAGAGATGGAGTTTAAAAATACAAAATTCGTCAATTTGCACTTTTCCTCCATCTCCAATTTTAAGGACAATTTTCACCCCTTCACTGTGGCCAATTGCCAATACAAAAAAAAAACACGTATCTAATATTTTTCTCAAATCTACCATACACCAAAATTTCATCAAAATCGGTGATCATCTAGTCACTGTCCTTTAATTAAGTCACTTACTTCCAATACTCAGTCGAATCTACACAATGTGCATCAGCATCACAAACCACACGAAACCACCTCAAATCACACAAAGAACTACCTCAATCTTCTATTTCACCATACCAAACCACACAAATCTTCAAACAGAGAACGTTTTCCAATCTAAAGCTTACGATCCCGCGACGCTCATCCCGCTTTCCCGGATATACATAAGTTTGGTTTCATCGCGTTCACCGCGTTCGGTTAAGACACCCTCCGGTGGATAAGAGAGAGGTAGCGTGAACTAGAGCGAAAGAGAGCGAGCGAAAGAGAGCGAGCGAAAGAGAGCGAGAAGCAAGCGAGTAAGACAGTAGAAAAAAAGAAAACCGAAAGAAAACATGGAACCTTGTTTGAAAATCCTTAGTAGCCGAGACAAAGTCGGAGGAGAAGAGCCAGAGGAAACTGGAAGTGGGTGAGCTAGTATGGGGCGCCGCAAGAGGAAGTCCGGCCTGGCCGGGCAAGGTCGAGTCTTTGGGCCCGCCGGGCACCATGACGGTCTGGGTCCGTTGGTACGGGGGCGGGGGCGGTCGGAGCCAGGTCGAGGTCAAGGCTCTCAAGTCCCTCTCCGAAGGCCTCGAGGCGCACCACCGTGCGCGAAAGAAATTTAGGAAGTGAGTCGCACCACCTCGTTCGGGGGATCAACTATCAGAAATGAATTATCCGAACCCTCCTTAGGGATAAGAAACCTCTACACGGAGTATCCGGCCAGGGATGAACGATCACGATTTACGGAACGATACGACGTCGCGTTTTCCACGCGAGGTTTTTCTTTGTTTCGTTTCAAGCTTTTGCTGGTTGAACATGTACGGCCTCCTTTGTACGGGGTGTTAAGAATGTATATCTGTTAGTGCATGATATATACCTTTTTTTTTTCTCTCTCTTTTTCATAGAGATATGTTTGAGTAATATGTTAAGAAGCTCATTTTATTGTCGATATTTTCTTCTTTTCTTGAGTATTTTTGGATTCGTAGCTGTCAAGGGGAAAATCGTTTCAAAGGGATGTTTGTGCCTGGTAATTTTTTTTTTCTGAGGACTTGGAGAAGTTACTGTTTAATGTTTCATCTTGAATTTGGATTTTCAAACGGGAGATGTGTTGATCGTTGATGTCACTTTTAACAGAGTTATGTTTAAATAGTATTTTATAAAATTCATCTCATTGTCGATATTCTCTTCTTTCATTTTTGAATAATTTTAAAAGGATGTTTGTGTCTGGTAATTTTTATCAAAGGATTTGGACAATTTATTGTTTAATATTTCTTCTCGTAATTTGGATTTTTAAACGAAAGACACATTGGTCGTAGATATTTTCCACTTTCATTCTTTCAGTGAACAGTAAAATGTTATTTTAGTGCACGATTCATAGAATTTCTTAATTAGAATCCTTAACAACAACTGTATACAGTTACTTCGAGTATTACCAGTGTTAAAAAAATAATATGTAACAATACAAGATGATCTCGTCCAGATTCTTTTATTTATTGCACACAAAATATTGAAATTTTAATAAAAAAACCACCAAGATTTGAAACATTAAACGATCCAAGTGTCTCTGGTTGAAGGATTAGCAAAGGTAGTTGAGACAATGTTCGATTTAATTTTACCCGAAATCTTATTCCATTATAAAAATTATTGGTATCAAAATCAATTCACTGAACGTTTTGTAACTCCGGATGAATTATTGTGATTCTGTTTCGTATTTTGTTGTCGTTTATCCTATTATACCCGAGATACACAAGAGGTATAATCAATCGAAATTGATAAATGTTTTACAAAATTGATCCGTCACAATTCTTAAGCAGTACGCTTCAACCCTTTCACTGCTGTCGACGCCTATGGTCGCTTCGAGAATTTACTCACACCGCGCCCTTGGCGCCTATAGGCGTTTTAAAAATGTCCTCGCACCGTGGCCTTGGCGCCTATAGGCGTTTCGAATATTTTCTCGCGCCGTGTCCTTGACACCGTTCACCTTATTTTGGTCCTTTGTTCACTTATACCTTAATTTCACAGAAGGAATTTAGAGACTGTAAATTTCAAATTTGAATTTCAAAATTTCTTTAAAATTTTCAAACGAAAGATTTTCGCGACCGTGATTAGAAAGGATTATTGGAAGCTGTGCCCTTGGCACCTTTCGCCACACTGTCACCTTAATTTAATCCTTAAATTTCGTCCTTTGCGCACTTCCACCTTAATTCAACGGAAGGAACTTAAAACCGATAAATTTGAAATTTGAACTTGGAAATTTTTTAAAAATTTTAATACGCCAAATCGAAAGATTCCGCGGCCGTGATTGGAAAAGGGTTAATTTATCTCATACGTGTGATTTCTCGTATTCGAAGATCAATTTTGTACAGCATTTATTAACAAACCAACAGCCAATGATATCGAGTCTCTGCTAATTATAAGAAACTCCTGCGTAGCTGCGATTTTTCATTTCGCGTTACTCGTTTAACAGTAGAAAGCTTTGAAGGTACCTCTTTTCTAGAAGGCCGTTATTGGAGAAAACGCTTTTACTTCTGTCTCTTTGATCGCAGTTGCGCGGTTCTAGCCATTATTTGAATTTACACTTTGCAAACACACATGCAATTTTATTTATCTCGCTTAGTAATTTGCTGTTTAAGTATAACTTCTGTATTCTTTGTTTAGTAAGTAAGTTCTTCGTAGTACAATAGAGAACGTTTATAAAACGGTTTTTTTATTACCACGGTTGTACAGAAGTCATCGGACTCCTATTGGTAAAAATTTCATATTCAATCCGTGTTCCGATGTGAATGCAATCTGCGATGCGTGAAAAATATCGAAAAAACAGAGAGAGAAAAAAGTGGACGTGACAGATTTACGGTTGAGAATCTTTTAATAATAACGCCATTCGGAATCCGCTTACGATAGACTCGACAGCAGCCAGATATTCAAATTTGTTTGATCGGATCGAGTCTCTTATTGACAGTTTAAAAAAAAAACAAAAACGTGTTCGATCACTTCTTTCCTTATTTTATTTTTATCGAACAATTGGAGTTTGCATTATCATTAAAATAATAAACTGCGGTAGTATCTAAAATATTAAGATCTTTAACATCGTCGTGACTTTATATTTATTTATTTTTTTCAAATAATACTTATCAAGATTTTTAACATCGTCGTGACTTTCTACTTATTACATTTTTTCACCAATATTTATCGCGAATTTTAACACACTTATCAAGATCTTTAACATCGTGGACTCTCTATAAATCGATCAGAGCTTTTTCAAACGAAATTACAAGAATACGAAACAATTCAATACAGCAGAATTAAAATCGACAAAACTGAAAGAATAACCGGTGTTCGAGAGAAGTATCAAAATTACCGTATAAATTTGCACACACACACACACACAGGCAGTCGAAGAATTTCGAAGAACGTCTTAAAAAGAGAAGATTCTCTAAAACCAGCGCAGATATATCAGCAAAGAGTAGTGTCGTAGCTGCGTAGAGCATCCTAGACGTGTATCCGCGGGCTTTGCTGTTGCTCACTGAAACCATATCCGGTTATGCTCGATGTTCTTCACGACTAACCCCACAATTTTCTCGTTTGCCCCCTTTCTTTTTCTAGAAGTCGTAAATTGAACATGCAGCTGGAGAACGCCATACAGGAAGCGATGGCGGAACTGGACAAGGTCACGGAATCCAGCAAGGATCAGAAAGCAACCGGCAGGTCTTGCAAAGTGACCGGAAGCAAGGGATCGGAGAGCGGCGGGGCTTCGAGGCAAGAGGGAGGAAAGAGGTCGTCGAAGAAGGCTGTTGGATCTTTGAACCCTGTCGCGGCACAGCAGAAACAGTGTCGGTGATCCGTGTCGATCGATCCTCTAATAAACCAGCTTAAATCACGATGATCCGGCTGTTGAAGAGATCGCGTCAAAGAGGGCACGTTCGAACCCCTCTGGCATTCTTGTGTGCATTTCTCAATTAAGAAACACCGACACAGCGCGCGTACTTGTTCTATGTTGTAATTTCTTCTTCGAATACTTTGTAATCCACCGTTTTTCAATGTACAGAAATTCTATGTTACACTCGGGAGAAGTGACGTTGCGAAGGTTTTCGAAGTTACGCTGGTTTTTCAATCGCATTTCGTGTCGAAACTCTCGATCCGACGTGATTTTGTCGTTCTTTGTCGACGCGAAGATTTTAGTTGTGCTGAAGCTTCGCTAGAATGTTTGCTGTTGTATACTTCTGTATCGCGATGACGCTGTTTCGCGAAAATTCTTGACAGCGATTGCAGCGTGTGTTCTACGGCTGTATCGTGGAATACAAATTCGTTTAACCCTGGTACGTACCTCAGATATAGTTACGCGAGAGATCCTCGGGTGAGATTTTACCTATTGCCGCTCTATATTTTGCTTAACGTTGTTGGTAATCTTTTACACTGTGTTTCATCGAAGGTTGGTTAAATTTGTGAATTTCGAATACACGAGGTTGTGACACATTCGGAAAGAAATCGAACGTAGTGCAGCATCTGGAAGGAGGCTGTGGGTGAATTTTCGCCCGAGGAGCGTACGAGGGTTAATGTGAAACAGCGATTGAAACGATAAAAATCGCGATACAGAAGTGACGATTATTGAAGGAACGAGAAAGAAACGGAGAAGCTAGAGTAAGTGGGATTATTGTACATTTTTGTTGTCGGGGCAACGAAGAATTGAGAAATTATGAGATAATTGTCGTTGTTTTGAAAAATCCTGGCAGATCTTGTGAAACGTGAAAAGAATAGCATCGTCGTGTTAGAAAATTCCTGCAGTTGCCCCGACAGAGCTAAAAATAACCGAATGTAAATATCGACAATTTTTTTCATCTGTTTTTCTCGCGACACAAGCGAGTTCTTGCTTCTTTTTTGTACATAAATAACAACGGAGAGAAGCGAATGAAAGTGTCGGAAGTGCTGCTAGATTTCGGCGAGCGAGGAATGGAAAAGTCAATCGAATGTGATCGAAGCGACTAAAATAAGAGTATAATCGGATTAAAGAACACTTTTATCGTCTGTAAATCGGCCGAGACTCTTCTCGGCGTGATGTAGAATAGTTGGTTGTTATTTCTTTGCGATAAATCGTTGCTAAGCACGCATGATTGTAGCAAGCACCGTTTTCTTATCGAGCAGTGCTGTCAGAAAATTGAATTCCTTGATTCAAACGTAAGCTGTTACTGGAAATTCTGTAAATTCTACCTGTAACAGCGGAGAATCGGTAGAACTCATAATTTGTTAAGAATATTTGAAAAATTTACTCGAACCGTTTCCGAGCATCAAATTGTTCTATGCGTAAATATTTTTCTTTAGCGTGGAAAAATCAGCAAGTAAAACGAGCGGGAATATTGTAAAAATGTAATAATTGCGAAATTAGAGAAGTCTGTTTAGCGTGACAGAGAAGAAAATCATTATCTATCCGTGGCCGACTCGTTTTCACGTGGAAGTGGCCTACAGTACGTGCTGTGCAATGTAATTGCACAACGGAAAGTAAAATCGTCGAGTGATATAGGAGAGTGTTTATTTAAAAAGAAGAAACGGCGCGCGTTTACGCGTGAAACGAGAGCGTCGATCGTGTAAAGATAACCGTGCAGATTACAATTTTTTTTACCTTTAGTTGACGAGGTTCTCGTAGATTTAGCAAGAGACGAGCGTAGTTTATTCGATAACCGAAGGACCTATTAGCGAGAAACGATAAAACTCCGTTTACACGGAATACAGGCGATTCTAGGAATTTCGAGACACGATTTCGAATGTTACATTAACATTTACGCAGGGAAACAAGGAGTATTTGTATCTCGAAGACTTACTTATTATAGTTGCGTGTAACGTGACGGGTTAGAATCTACGATTCGAGTGTTTGGTTTTTCGAACGACGATTCAAACGTCGTCGCGTAGCTTTCCTTTTCCCCAAGCTACGTTCTGATACGAAAGCTCTTACAGACCGACGATGCGGATAAACAAGTACGCGTAGTTTTAAAAAGGATATTTTTGCGATAGAATCGACATCACAGTTCTCCCCTCTGAAATCGTCGTCGTTCCGAAACCGATCATTTTTTAAACGGCTATACGTAAGTGTGTACAAGAGATGTGATTCTTTTTACGATCGTCGTCGTCGTCGTCGTCGTCGTGTTGCAAAGTCGGCTAGTTTTCACAACGTTGAAACCGTTTTTAACCTCGACCGGCCACACGCGTGACCGGTTATTCTCGCGTGATCATTTTCTAAACCTCCTTAGATGGTAAAGCAAGAGCGCGATGTGTATTTTACGAGTGAAAAGCAAAACTGTGTACATAGGAGAGCTCGAGGTCTCTACGAGGTGTCGTATTCAAGTTTCAATCGAACCTTTCCACTTTCAACGAGACGAGTCTTTCCGAGTAGCGTCAAATCAATTTCCATTCAGTTCGAGGAAGAGAGAAAGAGAGAAAGATAAGAAGACAGAAATAAAGAAGCATAGAACATCGAAATGAGAAATCTTTGCCGGAACACTTTTTTTCCATTTTCGCGCTCTTTCCGAAGCGCGCGTTTTCCTTTTCAGCGTATCCGATCTCGAACGTACGATAGCGTGTAACTCACCCCTTATTTTTGTATCGGCGCGAAAATCCGAAAGAAAAACGAAAAAAAAAAAAAAAAGAAGGAAACCACATCGCGTTTATTCATCGCACAATTTAGCTCCGAGACGTGAGAAATGTTCCTTTGCAAGCATGTACGCATAAATATGTACAAAATCATACAGAGCGAATCTTTAAAAGTTAGTAGGATATACGCGAGCGAGTATTAAATGGATACTTTATTTGATCGACTATTACCAATTGTCTACGACAAGATATTTCGATCCTGGATCAAACTTTCGGTTAACACTTGGCTCGCTGATCGACAAACGGGTGAAAATGTTGCTCGACCAACAAACAGTTGCTTCATCTGATTTCGAATCTTTCGCCGTAGAAATTTGTAGAAAGTTTGATTAAATTCGTTGGTTTGATTGAACAGAATTCAGCGAGTAACGTGTTAACAGCGAAGCTTTCGGTAGATCTAAACACACAATAGACAGACAATAAAAAAGATGCAAGTATCAAAAGACAGAGAGGGTTGCGCGGATTCTTTTTACGACTCGTCACTTCGACTTTCGAAGAAGAACGACGTTCTGAGTCGAGTCAGTTCCACGAGCTGCCGATTATTCGTTGCTAAAACTGTGAATATGTACTAGAACGAAGAAAAACGATTAACGAATCTTGTTGAAAAAAGAAATCAAACACGATATACAAAATTTCTATACCTTTTGAAAACTGTAACTTTTCTAACTGGTCTGAATATTTTACTACGAAAGAAGCCTGAGAAGCTCTCTAAGTATACCGTCATAATGTAAAATATCCCCCCCCCCCCTAAAAAAAAGAAAATGCTGAGGACCAATTACTTTCGGTAAATTGTCGTTTAACGATACTTCGCAGCAATGGAGAAAACGGTGACAAATCGCGATTACTCTTCGAAAGTATTTGATCAAATTATTACAAACTCGTTTTGCTAACTGTAAGAGACAAGGATGACGTGTAGACGTTGTTAGTTCAAGTTGATAAATAACGAACGTGAAGAATATTCCAGGAATATTAAATTACAGGAATCTTTGGAAATTGTTCACGCGATACGAGGTTAAAGTGAAAACGTTAATAGAAAATTCTCTATTCCTACAGTTGGCAAAATAAAGTAAAATAAGCTTTAACGAAACTTGGACTGAATAGCTGAAGGATATCGATGTCCTGTTCGAATAGTTTGCAGTAAACCGAAGTTAGTCGAATCCGAACTCTACGAAAATTCTAAATGCAAGGACCACTGAACGTTTATACTGCACGGAAGTACGAAAGTAAAATGTGTGCGAGCGTTGTTTTTCTAACACACGGAACCAAACTGTTTTCTTCTGTCGTAGCAACGAGTAATCGTCACGTTGTTTCGAAAGACGAAGGACAGCCCGCGTTGTTCTTCGCTTCGAGATCATTATATTCGAATCGAACCGATTGTTCACGCGCCTCTAATCAACGACAGTACATCAAACCAAATCAAAAGCTCGCGACAACGTGTCGTCGGGTCTCTCCTCCGTAACACGTTCAAATTTCAACAACGTCTCGCTTCCTTCGAAACGACCGACGAACGCTTAGCGAAAGCTCCGAAACTGAAGAGCCTCAGGAAGACCAAAACCGACAAAAAAAAAGCGGAAAAAAGAAGAAATTGATAAAAAAAAAAAAGGAAGAACGTTATCTGAAATTCGTAGATTTCTGTTTTGATCAGTGGCGAAAGACATATCACCGGCCGCGGACGACGATTCTCGAGAGATCGGTGTGAGGATTTCTCGATCGTGACGGAGAAGCAAAAGGGGATAATGATGAGGAACAGAAAAATAGAAACAGTTCATGTCGAGAATGATGCGGAAGGAAACGCGCAAACGGCTGGCATCGCTAATTACACAACATGGGACCGTTATAAAGATAAGACAATTCTAATTTTATCGCTCGATTCCTTCGCCCGGTACGATGGCCCGGCGGCGAAATCTAATTTCGCCGTTTCTCTCGCCTGGTTTCGCACGATCGATCCGGCGGTCGATCAGACACACAAAAGGGGCAAGCATTTCTTCTGTCTCTTCTCTGTGGTGCACCGACGCACCTCGCAGGATCAATATAAATTTGACGGAAGGAAAGAGAGAGAGAAAAGAAATGAATTAAGAAGAATATTACAGTAAAGACTTACCTCAGTAAACGTAATTGTACGCAAGAATCAAACGTCTTTGTAATCGAGAAGTACGTATACACCGTAGAGCCAACGTCCTTTGTATATTTTCCGTATTGTAAATAATTATACATACGTCTTATCGGTAATTATCGCTGTAC